TTTGATGTTTTATTATACGTAGTAAAAAGTTTTGGAGGGGGATTTGCTTAGTTCGCTTATTTAATATTTTGTTTTGGTCTGGGAAGATAATTAAAGCTATTTATTCGTCCAATGTTGCTTGCCGTAGTCTATTCTGTTTTTTGGCGGGTGGACAGTTTGTGATTTATTTATTTGGATTGATTATTTTTACTTGTTTAATATTCAGTTTTATATTTATAATTATATATATATATATATATATATATATACATATATATATATATATATATATATATATAAACCATTACCTTGAATCCAAATATTGATGCATTTATATAATTAAGCCAACCTTCAAACACTAACTATTATAAACTCATTTCACTGCATCGTTATAATAAATTGATGTCTAAGGAATTTTTGGATACACTTTTAGTATTTGTATGAAGTATAGGTACCATAGCGAAGAGTGATATTTATTCTACTATGTACAGAAATGTGGCACAAGGCCAAAATGGAGAATGGAGGAAAGAACGGTCTTCATCTATCTTAACATTAAACTTAGCTAGCCACAAATATTGACCTAAACATACAACGATATTCCTTACACCAAAACAACGAATTAACTCTTTGGAAACATTAGAAAGTCAATGAAATTATTGAAAATCGATATGCAATCGCTCAAAATGTATTGATTTTAACTAGTTTCATAAGTTTTGACAAAGTTGTATTACAAATTTTATATATATATATATATATATATATATATATAATTGCGAGAGGGGGAATCAAATATCGTAGTGTAATGGGTATCGGTACGAAAAACGTCAGACGAGATCGAATTCATGCATACGCTTTTTATTTTTACCCTTCCTGCTATCATCTAACTTTACAAGTGCAAGTGCCAGATCAGGTCGAAAAAATTCAGTACTGCTGTCTTATATGGGTTGGAACTGCACAGTATTTCCGTTTTAGTCTCGACAGAGTTCAAAAGCGTCTCTGAGTCTTTGTGTTTTTCGAGTTATGTTCCATGATACAACTCGTTCGTCACAAACGAAACGTCACAGCAAGCTTCTCTCTTCTCTATTGCTATTTCCATGAATACTCAGACGAACTACATTCCTTAGTTCCACCAACTAAGACCCGCTACACTACGCACATTGTAGCGAAACACCCTCATTCCCTTCGTATTCCATTGGTGAGAGGTAAGTTCCACTCCAACAGTTTCTTTCCAGGAACCGCTGCTTCATAGAACCGACTCCCGAGAGGATGCTTTCCCAATCACTAGAATCCTAACCTGTTCACTTCTAGGGTAAACTGTTATATTCCTCATATATCTTCATAAGCTATGCCTCTTACTTTGTAATTCTCTACCTCGAGTGATTCTTGAGCTTTGTGCAGGATGAATCTACTTGTAAATAAAAAAACACAAAATGGTGGTGAAGGGCATGAAACCCTATCCTTATATTATATCCTATCGCCTGGTTACTTGACAATGTTATGTGAACAATTAAGCATGTGTAGCAAGAATTGTCTGCGTGCATCATGGAATTACAGAGCCGAATTAATATTGTAGTCGATTATTTTGATCTTTTGGAAAATACATCTATTCAAATTATTCTATCCAGTTCACTCTTGTCTTGGTTGCCAGACAGTGTAGGAGAAAGCCATCTCGAAAATCAAACATGCAGAGGGATGACCCAAGTTCATACAAAAGCTGTTGCTTATTCTACACATTGTTTTATCGCTATTAACGAATATTCCCTGTGGAAAGTTGTGCGGTTGAAAACTGAACTGTTAGGCCATCATGTATATAAATCGAGAGTTCGCCATATTTACTTGCATAAAAAGAATTTAATTGGAGGTGAGGAGTGGAGTAAAGATCAAATCGCTGCAAAAAAAAGGAAGGGATTTAATTCTATTTTTGGGCAAGTCTGCGTATATTTATTTTAAAAAAATGCATGAACTCACTTCCCTGTTACTTTTAAGATTGCCAGATCAGGATAAAAATATCTGATTTCTGGCATTCTATGATGGTAGTCGAAAGTTTGATTGATCGATTTGTTTTTTACGGATTACCAACCATTTGTTCGTTATTTAGACCGAAGCATATTTTAGATTGCAAGAATATACATATCTTTTTTTTGTCGGGAAGGAATATGGTATTGACATATTTTTGAAACAATAATGATTTTTCCAGATATAAGGCTGACTAATGCATCTATAACTGGGGGTGGGGGATGAATTCATATCTTTTCTGGGGGTATTTGTGCGCAAATGAATGTAACGAACCCGACTGCAATACGAACTCAGATGTCTTATTCCATACTCCTATCGGTTACACCACCCGCACATCCGATTGACGAAGAGAAGAATGATTAAACTTTTTGGCAAATAGTGTTTCTCTTATTTTTTTATGGAAAAACAATTTACCAAAGAAAAAAGGTCATAAAAGTGCGGATTCATAGTGGATCCCACCCCTAGACTTTACTTTTTCTAATTAATGTGAGTCACTGTCATTCACGGCCTGTGTCCAGTACCCTATTTAGTTATGGTGCTTTTCTAGATTCCTTATCGCCTCAGTATTTTTTAACCCCGCTTTTTATCTTGATTAGACCAGCCTTTTACATCTTCCCTCTCCCTAATTGCTTGTACTTAAGCCGCCATTAGCTTTGGGCTTCTTGGTTCTGTCTTTCAACACAATGTAAAGGTCATTCTCATTCTCTATATATATATATATATATATATATATATATATATATATATATATATATATATATATATATATATATATATATTTACCGTGTATAACAGCAAGATTGTCCAAATCATGTAACTGCATAATTGTCCATCCCAGAAAATGTTTAATATCTAAAAAAACACCAAACTAATTGAGCCTCTTTTTTTCCATATTTTCAGATAAGACTTTTAGTCATCTTGCCACTGAAAAAAAAAAACATTTGGGTTATTCAGCTAGAAAGAGAAAAGGTTAAAATCGTTTTGTGTCAATCCTACTATGTTTCCCAACTGAGCAATGGTGAGACGAAATCATAATTCAGGCCTTCAGTAATGGTACCAACATTCATATTCTGGCTTCCATCTTCAAAAGAACCATCAAGAGAAGCGTGAATAAGTTTAAAAAAAAGAGAGAACAGTAGAGAAGAAAACAGGATCAGGAGTCCACAATAGAAAGAGGGATCATCATTTCCACTTAATGATAAAAAGATCAATTAGAAAAGCTCCAACCCAATTCATAAGATGTTTTGCACTTAAGAGAGAAGTTTCACCTATGACAGTCCAAAGAGCAGTGAAAAAAAGTCTTGAAAATGAAACCGTATGTGAAACCTATGATGCACCTCGTTACTCCAGAACGGAAAGTTAGAAAGTTAGTGATAACGATGATCTTCTTGAATAAGTTGGAAAATGATACTGAAATAATATATTTGAATATTTGAACTTTACATGAATCCTTTATGATATTCTGATTGTTAGCTACGATTAATTAATGATGAACATGTCATTTTTATTTATGATCGATTTCATCACGATACTTCTGTTAAGCTTGGAGAGTAATTATACATTTTCATTGCTAAAAGTGTTATAAAAACCTCGGAGAATTCCAGTAAGATATATTTAATTATTTCTAAGATACAAAGTTTAATCTAACAATTGGACAATTTTACTGTTACACGATTTAAACAGTTTTGTTTATATATATATCTCCAGAAATTTTACCATCATGTGTATGGTATTCGGTGCTCTTTGAAAATGCGGTATTTTGGTAGCTGTTCGAATTGAATGAAGAGGGATAAGTTCTTTTGGTGATTGTGTCAGTTGTTTAAGAAAGACTGGGTCGTGAATCGAACTAGCTAGTAGTAGGATTGTTAATGATGACCAGCCTTTCTTCCCGCGGTTTTATCTTAAGAACAATATTTTCTGTTTAATAAGAAAATAGATTTTCCGTAATTACGCAACTCACACAGATAATACGAAGAAAATGACGTCATTTCTATGGGCAATATTTCATTGTAATTAAAAAGGACAATAATGCAATAAAAGTAAAATATTATTTGCCATGGAATTCGATAAAAATAAACAGCTGAAAACCGATTGGTTTCACACAAATCTCTAACCTGTACGTATGACAGATATTAGCTTGCAGGGACAAAACAATGCCTGAAATAATATGAATTTTTTTCGAAACTAATTTTCACTCCATACAAGGCTCAAAGAATACTGAGTTGGGGGTGAGAAGAAAAGGAACAATTTATCCGGTTATATAGGAAAGATAACGGTTAAATCCAGACTTGATGGGTTCAAGATTCTAATAATTTGGAAAGCTTCCTCTTGGGATTCTATTCCACAAAGTAACAGTTATTAGGAAGAAACTACCCCAGTGGAACATACTTCTTACTAAAAGAATATGAAGGAAATAAAGGTGGTTCGTCTCAGTGTACGCAGCGTGGCAGGTTTTAGCTTGTAGGGTTAGAGATAGGGAAACTAATACAAAGTAACGTTTCGCTAGGGCAAGGAGTTGGAAGGTGGAAAAAATTCCTTACCAACATGGCCGCGTTAAAAGTGGAAAAATTCCTCACCCACATGGCAGCGTTACCTTTTTTGAGCTCTATCAAAACGAGAGAATGAAGACTTGACAGCACCAGGCCAGATATGACGGAGGTATATTATTTCCCGCCTGATTTGATCTGGGGAGGAGACAGTTACTTACTGCATCGATGCAGGGAGCCGACCAGATGTCTCATTTTTGAAGTAATGAAAATAAATCCATTAATTCTACAAAACAAAATTGCTTTGCTTAGGTTTCGGATATGAAATTGAGCAGGAATGGTCTCACGCAGATATTTCATCAAGGAAGTGTGCATTCCTTAAAAAAAAGGATAGATAGGACATTGTTGGTCTGTGATGCTCTCTGTACCCGAGCCCTTCTAAATCACGAGGAATCAAATGGTAGTTTCTCCTACAAAGGCGGGGCGCAGGTTAGAGTCCTGCTGGGGAGTGACAGAGAGCTAATGACAGAGAAGAAAGACGAGAGAGAGAGAGAGAGAGAGAGAGAGAGACAGAGACAGAGATGAAAAAGAATGGATGAAGAGAATGACAGAGACTAAAGATGAGAGGGAGAAAGTCTGAGAGAGAAAAAGATAAACACACACACACACACACACACACACACATATACATATATATATATATATATATATATATATATATATATATATATATATATATATATACACAATAAAAAAAAACAGTTTAAAGTAAAATAAAAACGGCACGTCTATTTCAAACAATGGCAACCTCTAAAAAGACGTTTGAATTAATATAAATGTAAAGATTAAAATAAATCACACACACACACACACACACACACACACACACACACACACACACACAGGCATATAAATATAATATAACATAATATAATATATATATATGTGTGTGTGTGTGTGTATGTCTGTGTGTTTGTCTGTGTGTTTGTGTATGTGTATAAATAAAAAGAAAGAACAGTAAGATATATAATCCGGTGTTCTCATAGATATTTTTTATTTTTACTAAATAGTGCTCAATGTAAATTTACAGAGAATTAATATTATAAATTAATTGATTTAAAATATGTTTTTTCCGCTACACAGTTCTAACTATGTTTCAAAAATGGAAGCCGAGAGTTCGAATATAATTTTGTAATTTAATTAAAGACATTAGTTCCATTTCATCCTCAAGCGAATTTCGGAGTATATATATATATATATATATATATATATATATATATATATATATATATATATATATATATATATGAGACATGTTTTATTGAATAATTTAGACAAGTTTTGTTTACTTATTTTCAACTGGATCCTTTCATATTCACGGACAAGCTTTTTGGTGTCATTATTAAAGAAAGAAAATCACTGTGTTGATACATATTATTTTATTCCATGTCCTTTCGACATAACATAATGCCACCATTATTTCGAGACAATTATTTCAATGTTCATCGTCTTGAATATGAAAGAATCTAACAGAAAATATGTAGACAAAACTTGTCTAAAGTATTCAATGGAACATGTCTCTGCCAAAATGTACGCATTACATATATATATAAACAGTCAAATGATTGGGTGTGTGCAAAAGTTTCCAATGAAAGCAGATTTTCTACAGCGTATTAAAAATATAGCCTTGGGAATTTTTGCACGCTCTCAATGTAGATATATAGGTGTGAGAGCGAACAGACAAAAGAACCATGGAAATACGTTTTGTGAAAATCTAAAAGTCATATTGCTCTAACATCTACTTGTAAAGAAAAGGAAAAAAATATCTAGTAATATTCATCTTTGAAAAAAAGATGAGGAGACGTCGCTGTGTACTTTACTGTGACTTTTGACCTTTATTTACTTTCTGTTTTCCAAAATAAGCAAGCGGCCATTGAAAAATAATTGGAAACATTCGCCAGCGTCTGAAACGAAACTTTTTTTTCTCATCGTATGAGTAAATGAGTTAAGAGAAAAAGAAATCAAAAAGACAAAAAAAATCAGTTCTATTGTAGAAAATAAGAGGCATAAGTCGTGAATTGTTTGGCCGAAGGAGATGTTAAAACATCAAACAAGGTATGAAATAAATAGGAATGGGTCGGAAGAACAAAACCAGACGCTGAGACAGAGAGAATAAAAGAGAGAGAGAGAGAGTGTGAATGAGTGAGAGTGAGAGTGAGAGTGAGAGAGAGAGAGAGAGCGTGCTACAGAGAAGAGTAAATAGAGAGATATAAAGGGAAGTGTATAGAAAAATAGGGTAAAAAAAACAGAGAATGAGTGATAAAAAAGAGAGAGGGGAAAGAAATGTAAAAGAAGAGAGAATGACAGAGAGAGTTAGGTATAAGAAAAAGAGGAGAGAGAATGTGAGAGGGAAGAGAGTGGTAATAGCAGAAAGGAAATAGCAGAGGGAGAGGGAATGGCAGAAATTAAAGTGGGGAGAGAAAGAATTTGCAAGAAAAAAGAGGAGCGAGTTATAGAATGACAGCGACAAATGGGGAGTGAGAGATAATGATATTGAGAGACGAAAGAAGAGAGACAGAGACTGAGTGACAAAGAGGAAAGATAGAGAGCGAATGATAGAGATTAAAAATAAAAAAGAGAGAGAGAAAGAGAGAGAAAATGACATATATGAAAGAAGAGAGAGAGAATGAAGGAGAAGAAAGAGGAGAGAGTGTGAATTACAGAAAAGACGAGAGATAGATAGAGACTTCAGACACGAGAGAGAGAGAGAGAGCGAATGACAGATTAGAGAGAAAAGAGAGAGATAATGACATAGATGAAAGGAGACGAAGAAAATGTCACAATAAAAGAGGAGAGAGAGATACTGAATGACAAAGAGGATAGATAGATAGATAGATAGATAGATAGATAGATAGATAGATAGATAGATAGATAGATAGATAGATAGAGTGAGAGAGAGACTGGCAGACACGAGATAGAGCGAATGACAGACATTAGAGAGAAAAGAGAGAAATAATGACATAAATGAAAGGAGATGGAGAGAATGTCACGATAAAAGAGGAGAGAGAGAGAGTGAGCTTGGATGACAAGGAGCAGAGAGACAGAGAGAGCCTAACAGAAACGTGAGATGGTGAATGGCAGAGATTAAAGGGAAAAGAGAGAAAGAGATAATGACAAAGACGAGACAGGAGAAAGATAGAATGACAGAGAAGAATACAGATAGATAGAGAGAATGGCAGATATAAGAGAGAGCGAATGACAGATATTAAAGGGAAAAGAGATAGATAATGACAGCTGAAAGAGAAGAGACGGATAAATGATGGGAGAGAGAGAGAGAGAGAGAGAGAGAGAGAGAAAATGACAGAGACGAAAGAGGAGAGAGTGTGTGTGAGAGAGAGCGAATGCCAATTAAAGAGTAGAGAGAGAATGACAGAGACAGAAGGGGACAGATGAAGAGAATGGCAGAGACGAAAGAGAGAGAGAAACTCTAGAAGAGAAAACGTGAAAAATATATATATATATATATATATATATATATAAATATATATATATATATATATATATATATATATGTGTGTGTGTGTGTGTGTGTGTGGTAGCAAGGTAGAGGGAAACTCACCCCCAAAAAAAAAAAGTGAGAATGTTGACGAAAAAGTGTGAGGTAAATTAAAGACAAAAAGTAGTCGGGTGTGAAAGTGATCCGTTTAAAAATGACAACGACTCAACAATTTACCAACTACAAAAATCGATGGGAATAAGTTTTTGCCTTCTGTCACGAACAACTTAACAATCAAAGAGTAGAGAACTCGCTCGCCCGCAGAAGATTATGAAATGAGAGAAAAAAAAAATTAACGGTTTCTTTGTTGTTTCGTCTGTTGTCAACACTATTTGTGTAAGAACATTAATATTGGTCATATATTAATATACGGAAATGTAGCCGATCTGTTATGGCCAATAGATTCTCGTTGGTTGCTGTTTTCCTAGCTGTTGATATAGCAAAACACACATACACACACGCCTGCACGCGCGCGTGCACACACACAGATGTGTACACAGACATAAACACGACATAACAAATAGTGGAGAAAATTTATCAGTTCGATCTAAGAAAATGAGAAAATATACTTTTAATTATGCTATATTGGTAATAGTTCTAAATATCAGACATACAACGTATATAAATATAAAAAATGGGCTCTGAGGTCAACACAAAACGGCCTTTCAGATTTTATATATGTCGGAGTTAACTCCTCCTTAATTCCCTAGTTCTTCACTAGGGGTCGCTCTCCCTACACCATAAATACTGGGCGACTTCTTGCCTTGTTCTCTTCTTTTTTTTTTTTTTTTTTTAAATTTCTTTATTTCAGCGAACACCTCAACAATGTCATCTCCCGCAAAAGATAGAGTTTCCCATTTGTGGGAGGCGCCATGAACATTATACACACATACACCTACGTACGAACATTCACCAAAGAACAAACACAAATGTTCACACACACACACACACACACACACACACACACACACACACACACACACACATGTTAATGTATATATCCATTGTAAAATTGTGTTTTTTAATACATATATTTGTTTACACACACACACACACATATATATATATATATATATATATATATATATATATATATATATATATATATCGCTCTTGTGTGTTTTCTTTTCATCTTCGGTTTGATAAAACTAGAGTCCGACATTTTCTCGTAATTGGGCCTTCAAGCAGAAAATAAACACGCACGTGTTTCTAATTCAACAACACGCAAGCCCACACGGCCCTCTCTCTCTCCCTCCCGCTATCTCTCTCTCTTTCTCTCTCTCTCTCTCTCTACATATATATATATATATATATATATATATATATATATATATATATATATATATGAAGAAATATAATTTTAAGGTGTGCTATATTTATGGGATAAAGTGCTCAATATCAGGATAGAGCAAATGTAAAATGAAAGTGAACATTGAAGTCAACACTAAGAGGCGACAGGCTGTTTCATGCTAAACGCAATCATCTGGCCCGATGACTGTCGAGTGTCTGTGTGTTGACTTCAGTGTTCATTTTATAATGGACAATTATGTAGTTATATGATTTGGACAATCTTGCTGTTATACACGGTAAATATAATATATATATATATATATATATATATATATATATATATATATATATATATATATAAGTTCCATTAAAAAACGACTGACAAGGTACTGCAGTTGAGTTTATTTTATTTTCTTGCATTCTTATAAATTTTTTCGTTGCCCTAAAATTTAACCACAGTACTTTGTCAACTGTTTTTAATTAAACTTGTATGGGAGAGTGATTTCTTCTCAGATACGCACGATAGAGCGTGCGATGGATAAAATTCTAGTTTAAAAATAACACTGCTATTTCATTTAAACAGATATATTTACAAAAATTACACAAAAATATCTTGAAATACTAAAGAATGAATTTATTCAATAAAATCTCCATTGGCCTTAACAATAGCCTCCAGACGGCTCCGGAAACTCCTGCAACTTTTCTGGGCGATCTCCTTGTTTTAGTTGATGAACACTGGCATAATCCTTGACTACAGTTCATCTTTGTTGCTACAAGAAGTTCTGTTGGTCTCTTGCTCAACTGCGCCGCACGCGTAGTAATCAAGAGAGCGTTGGGACAGTTAGGTGGCCCCATGTAAGGAGTGATGTGGTTGTAGAAATTCTCTGACAACTATGGTTGTGTCTCATGGTGCAGAGTCTTGTTGTCAGACAGAGTCTTCCGAATAATAGCAGACTTAGCAAGATCTTTACTAAAAAACACCTTAAAATTAAGTTAATGTTGCACTGAAAATCTAGAAAGAATCATAAAAAAAAACTTAATAATAAAATCTTGAAAAAACACCCATGCCAATAAATGATATTAATAAAAATCCTAAACTAAAATTAGACAAAAATAATGAAAAAATATGTGATTGTAGAAATCCTGAAGAATGCCCGTTGGAAAATAAATGCCGCACAAAATATGTGGTATACAATGCACTCTCTCATCCAATGAGAGCCCTTAAACTGATAGGATATACATTGGTTCAACGATGAAGGAATTTAAAATTAGATGGAGACAGGACAAAAGGTCCTTCAATAATATTAGAAATAGAAATCAGACATCTCTATATAAATATTTTGGCATTTAAAAGAAACAAATAAAACACCAAAAGTAGAATGGAAAATAATAAATAAAACAAGAATTTGTAAAACCTGGGATGGCCCATGCCCTTTATGCCTACATGAAAAACTACACATAATTAAGTTTCTAAATAATGAAAATTTATTAAATCATAAACATGAGTTAACGGTTTTTTGCCATCAATAAATTTTCGCATTAAATAATTAGCATAAAAAAAATTCATAGTCTAATAAAAGGATTTTTCTATCATAAGATAGAAAAACCCTTTATGAAGTCGTCAAAAAAACAAATTGTAGTTCAGTGCGACGCGTTTATGTACGAAACAGCCCTTTAGGAAAAATAATTAAATAAATGAATAAATGAAAGAAAACTCTTTAGACACTTAACGACGTATTATGGTGCCAATAACTATCTGTCGCTGTGACTGATCTGAAGACGTGCATACATGAATGCCATCATTCTGTTTGAAATAAACACGCCGGCCCTGTCTTGGCTTGACCTCTTTCCGAAGGTGGCTGATATGTGGATACAAATTAACTGTTATGCCCCTTATCAAAATGGTCGCTCCAGCCGTTTCCAAAGTAATTAATTTTGCGAATGAACATGCTTATAAAGATGCGTAAATTTCAAGATTGGTTATTCCTGAATTTTCGATTGATGATGAAACAGGGCTTGATGCTTTTACTCAATTTAATTTTAATAATTATATTGAGGTTTTCGGCTCTTGTTTTGAAACATGAGAACTCTTATGTAGCGAAGGAATCATATTTTTAAGAAAATAATTATCATTTAAGCTCTACTTCTGTATAGAGGACTTATTTGCCTAACGTGTTTTTTCCTATTTTTCTACATACCTGCAAATATATATATATATATATATATATATATATATATATATATATATATATTATAAATGACATAATATATGTTTATGTTGGACGAAATACAACAAACGCTAGTTTCTATTCTATATTGAGCAATTTAAAAATACAGAGACGTTTTGAGTCGTAAATTTTTTAAAATTTTGACCTATCAAGATATACAAATTTATCGACATCATTATTTAGCCTATTAATTTTAATTATTTTTCTTGCGCTTGATTTTAAATATCTCACATAGTATCAGCATTAATTTTATTAGAATGTTGTTAAGGAAGTAAATATACGGAAATTAGAATAAATGACTTTCTCCTTATTAAAACTGAATTCCTCGAAAATATAGTTATTCAGGCGATTTGTCACGCATCTATTCCTGGGACATTGTTATAGTTATTTTTTTTTTATTCCTGCATCACGTTTAATATTATTATTTTGTTTTTTGTTAATAACGTCTCTCATTCTTTTAATGATATTTATAACAAATATGCTAAATTATTTTCCATTTTGTTCGCTATTGACTTGATACGTAGTATTTTGAGCTTAATTTTAGTAATTTGCTTTATTTTTATTTTATTTTATTTTTTGCTTTTGTGGATTTTGTTAGCTTTCTATTGCGTTACACAAACATATACGTAAGCACACACGTATAAACCTGTCGCCGTCGATAAAACCATTATTAATGTGAAGAAGTTCTTTCTCGGGGCTCGAAACGGAGTACGTAGGCGCCTTTTTTCATTTGATTCCTGTAAAATTCATATTCTCTTAGCTTTTAGATAGCATTTTGTAGATAGCAATTTTTATGTCTTTCTTACCAGTTTCTTTAAAATATTCGTATAAGAATTTTTTTTAAAGTGTTGGCATGTGTTCGATATCTTATAATTACATATAGTAAGAAACACAGTTTTATGCAGGTGTTTAGAAAAGGATGGGAATTTTTTGACTTCTTATTGCTACAAAAAATATTATTTCTATATTTAATTTGAAAATGTCGAATATATGCTAAGACTTATCAAATTTCTTTTAAAAGAGAAGATGCGAGGGAATGAAGACGAAAACGTCGCCATTTAAAAATATGAAATAATATGTAATACAAAGTAAAAATGATTCATCAATCTCCAGCCAGACTTTACAAAGGGGAGATAACTCTCCAGGTATATGTTTATATTCGACGACAACAGAATACAGGGCGATACTTCTCGGCATACTCCATGGAATATCAAAATTTTATCCTTGGCATCTTTCAAGGTTCACTCTTCGGTTCTAATTTTTTTCTGCTTTATATTAACGATCTGCCCAGGGATATTCTCAGATCGTTCGTAAATATCAATGCAGAAGATATCACAGTGCACCGACCAACAAAAATCCAGAACAACAGAGCCTGGAAGATGATTCTTACAACATGCTGTACCCCCAGAAACA